GGATACGTCCCTGGTACATAGACAGTATATTTCCAACTTTCCTCTTACATATTTGTCAGCCGATGGCCAACAAACTAACCACTACCCACCGCCACTAATTGCATCTGCCATTTTGCTGTTATGTAAATATTCACAGCATTCTTGCTATGAGCCATGTTCTCTGGACGATTATCTTTTCCGCCTAACCACCATTCGTCCTTATATAATCTTTTTTCATTCAAAAAGTGCCCGGCTCTTGAAGTTCCCACAAGAACCCCTCGATTTTCATCTATTTCCATAAGCGCCCGCTCAATTTCCACTCTGTTTTAATAAGCGCCCTGTTTTAATAAGCGCCCTGTTTAAATAAGCGCCCCGTTTGAATAAGCGCCCCTCAGAAATTGCAAAAAAGTATTTTAAGCACCTGGCTGCTTATTTGCGCGAGTACGGTACTCATTACTAAGGTAAGCCTACTGATATTGCTTAGATACTGAAGTACAAACTACAGTATTCAATTTTTGTCATTATAAAATTATATAAAAAAACAATTACGTGAATTAAATTAAAATGGCAAATTATTTTCAATATTATTAAAACTGTTTAAATTAAAGCTTTTTAAAAATATATTACTGTTATGAACTTTCTAAACAGAAGAAAAGCTATATTGAATAATTCATTCTTTAATATTTTAGAACAGCATCAGGAATGATATGATGATGTAAAGAAAGAATGGTGAATCAATGGCTTCTATTTAGTCTTTTTGTAGTGTACTGTACTCGATATGATATTTCATTTACAGTAGTCTTTTTGTAGTGAACATGATATTATATTTCATTTCAATAATCAATGGACTATTTGGTATTTTATTTTTGAAGATATTATATACAATAGGTTGTTGGCAACACGAGTGCTTAGTGGACATTATCTTCATATTTTATTATTACTATACATCAAAATAAATGGCAAATATTTTAAACAACAAATAATAAACTAATAAACAATAAGCCTCACTACAGCAGTTTTTGTTTATTTAGACGAATGTTTCATTATGAAGTCATTGAAGCAATTAATTAAATTAACAAACTGTATCCAACAACTGTTAACTATTCATGAGTAAATAATTATTATATATTAGGCCGTCAGTCAGCAGTAAGCAAGTATTCTAAAAATAAACTATTATTATTTGTTATACACTCAGTATAAATCATTACTATATAAAAAGGTGATGAGTTAAGCGTTATACATTATGATAATCTTGAGGAAAATATTAACATTTTTAGAAAACAGGCAAGGTCCATCCATGACTTCACTTTTGGAATAGAATTGTGAATTTCTGTGAGAAACGCAATTTTGTCAAGGATCAAGGCAAATGTTACAGTGTTCAACTAAGGATGAAAATTATAATACTCACTTGACACTAGAGTGAAAGATGGATCTTAAATCCACAGAGCTCTATTCTTACAGTAAGAGGAAAGAAGTTTTTATTGAAACAGTTTCTACTAAATAAAATTAGGTTATTAAAATATAATGTTAATTATCATACCTCCAGCTGCATGTATTTCATATAGTCCATATTTAGGTGACGAGAGCATTCGCATATCTGGGTGGAATTTTTCGATTAGGGCGTTGTTTACTTCCTTTGTTGTCGCAGTACTGGAAACTCGGATGCATTTTGTTGCAACCTTGGCACCTGCCTCTTGGAAGAAGAAGCGCATGACACCATGGAATTCTCCATTCTACGGAAACAGACAATAAAATATGTTAAAATGGTTTTAAATTTTAATCAAGCAAGCAATTGTACAGATACATACAGACTTCAAATCTTATTCAGGTTTCTAATTTACTATTTGTACAGTGCAAGAAACAGAGGGTAGAAAACATGCTAAAATACAACTATATAATTAAAACACATTTGCAGTGATTCTTCTCCATAATACAAGAATAAAAATATACTAAATAAAAACAATTTTATTGAAATAACCATTTTGTTATATCGCTGCAATCTTCTGTTGCTCATCTCTCTACTAGATTACTAGTGGTAACTAAACTCCCTGTAGTGTTGACTAGGAATACCCAGAGCACTAATTGCAAGGATTAAGTACTACTGTAAGTCTGTCACATCAAAGACAAACCAATACTGTACACAATTTAGATAGTACATTTCAGATATTATACGTACAGTAAAACTCTACATTAACTAGGCAATTTTTAAAATCAATTGTTTATTTACTATAATTTTCTATACACTGAATTGCATTACAGATGTAGTACAGTAGGTCAACATTTTGATATGCGTTATATGAATGTTAACCGGTAGTTGACATACTGGCACCTTAACCAGTGGCAATACACTGGCGGATGTTTTGTGATAAATATCAATATGTAATTAACATCTCGACGAGATTTGATTGACAGATAAAGCGACTAATCAGTGAGCGTCATTTAGTCACGTGATCAAAAATTTTTTCTCAGACATTTTAATTTCCTTAGACAGCTGGTTTAAACTTTAAACGTGAAACATACAGTACGTGAGCCTAGGCCTAGATGTCTATGCTTGGTTATAGATACCCAGATTTACACGAGCAGTGCGCATCAGTGACTTGGCCTTTGCCGAAAACAAGGTTGACTGAATGAATGCGGCTTTCCCTCTTCCTTTGGGAGCGAAATACAGAGACCTTTTTTTACAACAATTTCCCCGCCATGTTCCATGAAATAGATTAACACTATGAATACATGATTCATTTGCATACCGCCTACCCTGAATTCTCTTTCTTAAAAAAGGTTGAAAGAAAATCTTCGCCAACTCGTTAAGTCTAGCCGCCATTGTCTTTGTGGGCAGGGCTTCGCGTCCTTGTTGACATGTCAATTAAAACACTACAGCATTTAACAATCATGAAAGCTAAATCAGCTGACATGGCTCATACATATAAAATATAAAAATGCGTTGATTGTCCTCTTTAATAAATAAAAAAAAACTAAAAGGATGACTGTACTACTGGAGGGAGAGAGACCTTATGTTAATCTAGGCATGGGGAAAACTCACACTTTAGCATTCAGTTAATATTAATAAACTATCCAAATGGCTCAGGCTTAGTTAAAAGGAGTGCCAATGAGATTTGTAAGTTTTCCATGGCCAACTTCAGCTGATCGAAAAAAATATGTCAGGGAAATATTTCCCTAAGTAGTGTGCGAGGATGATGAGCAATTTGCAAATTAATTTTCATTCATTCTCTGTACAGTATGAGTAGCAGGATCACAAACCAAGTGACCTAAAATATAAGGGATCTAAATGTCAAAGATTTATGAAAGGTTTTATTGCTCCAAAAATTGTCTTTGGTAAAAAGAATTACAAATCTACATACTACAGTTACTACCATCCAGTAACACAATACTTACAATTACCACCTAGATATAAAATATGCATGAATAAGCACATAAACTAAATAAAGTGTGAAAAATCAGGGTACGGTCAAAAGGTGACATACCATATTGTTTGTTCATAATTATGTTCTACGGGAGGCCAAGTAAATATTATGCACAGTTAAGTTATTATTATTATTGAAGCAAGCCACATTCTTACTTTAGTAGAAATCTAGTAATGGCTATTAACTTGTTAAGACTGTGTAAACTACACAGTCTATAGTATGAGTATCATAATTTACGTAGTAGAGCATAGCACTGATGTTTCCGAAATACACTGAATTATCAGTTCACTTATTAATGATTTGTCACCAAGACAGAACATTAGCACATGGATTCAACAAAGAAACGATGACTCAGAGAGATACTTTAGACTGTGTAGTTCTACATAAATGTGAAATTTACTGTCATTTGCACTAAATGTGACAAATGCTAACACACTGATCATCCTCTGGGGTAATGTTGCATTGTTCCATGTTACAATGTTTGTAGTTATAGTTTAAGTAAAATCCTTAGTATATTGATCATCAGTTTCCAATAAGATAATAATACAACACAAATAACTATATAGTCTGAAGAATTGTAATCTAAACAGTTTTTTAACATGATTGTAAAGACTAATACTGTAATTAATAATAATAATAATAATAAAGTAATATAGAAATAATAATAATAATAATAATAATAATAATAATAAAATAATAATAATAGCAATAATAATAATAAAATAGAAAAAATAAAAATTATTAATGAAAATATTTTAAAAAATAATAATGCCTTCATAAAGCACATCTACTGTAAGTATAACCATCTCTACAGGTTAACAAAAGAAAAATATAGACAACATCTGGGCATTCAGCAGGGTACTGTAACTAATTTACATATTGTAATATTTATTCAAACATATTATTGTATGTAAATTGGATGTGTGAATGTTTTTTTAATTTTTTTTTAACCAAAATTAAATAAACACAATATGAAACACACAAAGGTTCAATCATCAGTAGCTGAAAAGAATACTGTATTAGTTAATTAGTAGGCTGCATACTAAAGTGTTGTCAAGGCTGGGAGGGAAAAGAAGGCTAAGAAGATACAAAACTGAAGCACTGTTCAGATGTCTTCACATTGTCCTACCTGTATGTAGTAAAAATAACCATTTCATTTTCCCCTCCAAGTCTGGTATTAAGATAAACAAGGGAAAATGGATGGTTGGTAATTCAACATGGATTAAGTCAAGACACTAGAAAAAATCAATAAGCATCAGACATAATGATATGATTTATTGTCATCACACAAATGAACTTTGAACTTTGATTGCTCGAAATGAATGCAAATTCAAATTGTACTAACTAAAAATATAGACTGGACTGTACGACAAAAAAAACACAAAAGCTTATTTTAAGAATATTATTGTACTCAAAAAGTAGTATGAGTTGTTTGGAGGTTATCTTGTGACTTGTTTATTGTACAGTACACACAGTAGGGGCATGTGCATTATTTATGTGTATTGGCATACATTATGCTTTTTTCAGTAATAAGTTTTAGTTTAAGATGACATTGTAGTTAATTTTACCAGGATAAACCTGTACTATATTACTATTCTTTTAATTTGAACTGTGTTTCCATTTTTAGTTTTAAGTACCCTCTGTCTTCTTTGGTTTTTTTTTCTTTCTGCGTTCCTGGATGCACCTTCCATTAAGTGTGCCACTGATGAAAAAGTGTATAAATAAATTATTATTATTACAGTATATAACTACATATTAAATAAATTATTATTATTATTACAGTATATTAATTATAAAAAACATGGGGCTAATATAGTAATACAATAATAATACATGTAACAGGAAATAATCCATGCTGCCAGGTTACAACTGCAGTAGCAATTCAATACTGGATACAACTACTACCACAGGGTTTTGTATTAAAGCTATAGTGATATGGGTACAAAAGTCAAATTAGCTGGATGTCCAATTGGATAAATTTGACCCCAGGAATCCATCATCCACTCTGTGGTTAATGATGTTGATCTTACACTTGGCACCTTGTTCAACCCACTGCTGCATAGGAACAACATAACCTTCACTAATAACCAGGTCGTATCCACACCTACACACAGTAGGTTAAGAATATCATCTGAACACACAGCTTTAAATTACAGGTTTTGACACTACTACACCATGTTTTTTTTATGAACAAAAGCAACACTATCATAATAAATTCTTGCACTTCTGTGTAGAAGTCAGACAATCAGATTTTAATTTAAAACATTTTCTCATACTCTTCTGGGAAAGGCAGGGGAGGTCTCAGAAAAGATAATATACATATTTTTTACTCTCTTGAAATTGAAAAAAATATAATAGATGACATTTAATGGAAGGAACAGTAACCTTGGCAACAGCCACTACAGCATACAGGTCCTTTACATTATGCACTGGTAATCATTAGGAATCAGGATAAATATTTCTTTTTCAAAGCATATCATATATGCATACTGTACCTAATGAAGCATTTCTAAACAGAAAATTTCATCTTTTTAAGGTGTATTATTATTGAATCATATTCTGAATTTAATAAATTAATTTTGTAACAGAGTGTTCTATTCACAAGCTTCCTTTTGTTATTCAACCCCTCTATCCCAGCCTTGGTTCATAGTAGAGCAAAGCAAAGTGATTCTTCACAATTCAATATTCTGCAGACCTTATAAGCAATAATAAAGAATGTTACAGTTCACTGGATGAGGTCATTTTCCAAAGGATTCCCCTATCTACTTGGGTACACAAGGAAGTACAGATGGCTATCACCTTCCAACATTTGCAAAACTCCAATGAATTCATGATATATTCTACTTCAAGTATATATATTCCACATTCAGAATGTTCTTATCTCACTGAAACCTAAGTCTTTTAGGTATGTAGAAAACATCTCATTCTTTTTTAAAATTGATATTTGTTGTCCAATTAATCATACGCTATACAATCACACTAAAAATAGACATTTGTATGCAAGAAAGCTTGCTTCATACAAAAGAAGTGATTACATACTGTACTGTACTACAAAAGATATAATACAAAACTGGTTAGCACTTCCAATGGGTGTGTCTGTACTTAATAAATACATTAGAAACACTTAATTACTATGGTACCAGCCAAATAAAATTAGGATCATGTCAAATTCCTTTACACTCGGGATGTATAGTACGGTAGCATACTGCAGTACTACTTGTATACAGTAGTTTTTTCCCCATATTGCTATGAGATATTTTCACAATTTTTCATTGAGTAAATCATCATTTTACAGCGTAGCATTTGATTGAGCTGCAATTATTGTTCCAGGTTACCAATAATAATATAAATGTTTGCTAACACTGTTGCCTCATAGCAAGTAATGAGAATTGCAAATACAATAAAGTCAACAGTATCATTCTTTACTACTGTACTTTTACTGAAATTAATTTTGTTTTCTGCTCTACAGTATTCACATATCCAACTAACAGAATACAAAATTACAACATTATTATTTAGAACATAATAAAATAAATTTGTGGATGAACATTTTCTATAATTCCTTTGGACAACTACAAAGAGTAATGGCCCTATAATACTATAAATATGCATCAAAAACCACATCCCATGCAAAATAAAAGGAAGAAAAAAAAAACATTACAACACAATAACATTCCAATGCTGACTACAGTAAGGATACTAAGTTAGTGTCCTGTAAACTAATTTACATATTTATTATTGTTTATTAACTATAATTATTTTAATAAGTAAATATTCAAGTATGCATAGTAGATTCAACAACATTCCTATTAACACCCACTTGAATACCACAACAGTTGGGTCAGCTTCCCACACATTAAAATAATATAAACACTCTCTTGAAAGTTAAACCACAGAGAGGGAACACCTAACAGCATGGTGACTCACCACTGAGATCACTAGATGAAAGTCCAATTATTTCAAATTATTGATGTAATCTTATTGACGTTCCATGTTAATCATCCTATTTCTGTACACTAATTATTACCTTCTGCAATATCATGCACAAACCAACTGTTTTAAATGTAAAGATTTAACAGATTTTTAATTTTTTCAAAATTTTAGTTCTTGTATACTTTTCTAAGAAATTTTTCTGGGAGGTTTCAATCTTAATCATTTTCCCAAGACCTTTTTCTAGTTTTAAAGACTTTCAATCTCTCAATTTTTGTCCTTGTTCCTATTTAAATTTTATGTCTGTACAGTTTGTTGATTATTGATCAAATAAATGAATGAATGAATACATACTATAATTATACAAAATGCTTTACAGTACATTGCAGAGCTCAATATAAAAATGTTAGCATACTTTAGGATCTATACACAAGTACTGTAGGCTAATGCTTGTAATGGCCAGTAAATTGGGTCGACACTAAGTTTTATGAGTTAATGTATTTTATGAAATGACAGTCCTATACTGAATGTGTGCTAGTGGCAACAACAATTGCATTAATATTTTATCATTAACAACAACTTTAATTTAATTCTGAAAATTATGTAAATCATAAAAAACAAAGCATACTACTAATCTAAGGATCCACCTCCATATTTTATTGATAATATGGATTACCCATGATTCATACACAATTATTGATGAATTGTACACAGGTATAATGTGTAGTACACAACAATTGATGACTAGCACAATTGTCTGAAGCCACTAGCAAGGTCAAGTGTTACAGTTACTTGTAAATTCTTCTAGTTCTACTATACCTCCATGGTTCTACTAACACAACTCCTGATGATGACATAATTAATGTTGAAATATTGAATCCCAACATGATGGCGTGCATTTCGATACTTGGAGTATGTCTTATACTATCTTATTTGAGATTAATCAGTGTACCTTTCAACACCCTACAGTATGTGCCTGCCGTTTAAAAACAATGTAGCAGATACCATTAAAGAAGCCTTTCACCATTCAGGAAGCATTAACAAAATTTCACTTCTAAGCCCGCAATTCATTAGATAGCCTCTAGGCCTGAGAAAGTACTTAATATACTGAACTGCTCCATCAATTAAAACAATGAGAACAACAATGAAACAATGAGTGTTTTAATGAGAATTAAAACACTAAACATAAATGAAGTAATAAAATATTTACTATTTCATCTTTTTATTAGATGATCACAAACTGTTCACATACTGTATAATAAAAAATTATGAAATATTGATCTAAGTGGTTCCTCTTTCCAAATATTGTGTGGTTGATAATATCACTAGGCCTATACCACTACTTTTTGGGAAATCTATATTGTGATTCAAGTTCAAAACCATAGCATGAGGTGAATAACCAACTACTGTGTTAATACAGTATAATTAACAAAATATTTCACATTTACTAGCTTTTGTGCTGGGTCTAGTAAGAAAAACCAATAATTCCAAATGATTTTCCTGTTATTTGTCACAGAGCTACCCACACATCAAGGATCTTTACTAAAGAAAGGTGTTAAATGTACTTCCTGTCATCAGCCACAAAAGAATATGCCATTAAAATGCCACGGCAGCCATATAATAAAAATATAAGATTTAATTTAAAGTTGATTACTCATTTAGTTTTCAAAATAATTATCTCTAGATTACAAATCTAAAGTAAAAAGTTGCTGTAAAGGATGTATTTATTATTAATTATTACGACATTCCTCATTCACTTCCAATATTTTTTTACTATATTTATATGATATATCTTCTCATCAGAAATATTTCATTGACATTTAATATTTTAATTTTGACAGCTCAAACTCTAAAACTAGGCTACCTAACTAGGGATGTTAGAATAGAAACTGTTCTTGGGTAATCTATTTGGAATTATTATCACTGTCAACATGTATTCACCTTCCACTTTTAACAACTTCCTACCAATTTCCTGTGCAATAGTGCAGCTACTGTGCTGAGGATTTTAAATTCAGCTCTAGCAACAAACACAGATCACATTATAATAACCTAGATGCATATTTAATAAAAGTAGCATAGTCTAGGCCTAACCCTATTCATTTGATAAAAGCAACAAGTGCTTTTGAAAATAAAACTTGGCTACTTCAGCCATAGGCTAGCCTAGGCCTAGCTCATTTTTAGGCTAAACTATTTTGGGTTTTTTTTGTATTCCAGATAATAAAACTCGACATCAGAACATATAAAATAAGCAACTGTGGTTTATAAACGGAGTTTGACTTTTTGGAGAGGATAGTAAACTCTATGAGAAAGAAACAATTGTAAAAGACGATACACACACTTAATTCGTGTTGTTTTGTATGTAGGTAAAAAAACAACAACGAAGGGGACCAGCAAAGCCGGGAACGCCCTGACAATCTTGCGTCGTATTCGTCATGTCATATATTTCCAAAAACCAGGTGGGGACAGCCGTACCAAAACGTGAATATACCTAGCCAAATATGAATTGGAGTGCGACAAATGCTCCATAACTTATTATTGTATATTTCATCGACAATTCTCTCATTCGATTAACGCAATGACAATGCCATTTTCAAATCAAAACCTATAAAATATCGGTACTTGTATGACCAAAATTTCAATACCTCAGTCGGCTTGCTTATTTCAAATAAGTCCAAGCGGCTAGAATTCCAATCTTCAATCGCATCTCGTAACTTCTTCAGTTCTGTTGGGGATATAGTTTCCCCGTTTCTAGGAACGAAAATTGACGGATCCATATCCTAGTATAAATCCATGAAATAAATCCTTTAAAAAATCCGAAAGAAATAGAGTGTATTTACAGCTTTTCACAACCAATCTCCCTTCTATCTCTGGTCTCCTTGCTTTAAAACGTAAAAACTGATACTGCTGTGACGCCCTCTCGTTTTCAGTCTCCCAATAAACCACCACACCACGCACCACGACCACAATAAATACCATGCGCATGCGTGGTAAATCCACACAATAGGATGGCATGCATGTTGACCCATGGGCATTTTTATGCCGAACCAAAAATGCTTCCTACGGGGTTTTTTTAAAAAAAAAAAAATTTCCGACTCCCATACACCAATTATTACTCCTCTGTGAGAAAGCTATGCCAAGAAAGTGAGTTACACGAATTTTTGTTTTGTTTTGTTTTTTAAAAGAACTGATTAAATTATTAAATTTTTAGATGCATCTAACACTGAAGTCAACAACTTTGAATTGTAGTACAGCATATGTTAACATTGAAAAGTTTTCAGAAATTTAATGATGATAAAATTTGTTTATGTTTTATATTCAACCACCATGTCTATGGTAAAGTAACCCGTCAGCTCCCTATTTCTAGAGAGAATATTAAGTGATTAATCTAAAAGAATCTAATAACGAAGTTAATTATTAATTTAAAATCACAAACTAATAAATTATAACGTAAATTATCAACTCCAAATGAGACAGCACATCATATTCCAGTCGGAGATTTTCGCTAGCCTGTTTACAAATGTGGTTTTATTTATGAAATAAAAACGCAAGCATTGTTTTCGTTTCCTCACCTATTTGACTAAATAAATTTGCTGTTGCTTACTCACTTAAATTTAAAAATAATTCCTTTTCCTTGTTGCAGGTACCATAATTTTTCCCTTATATTTATGTTCATAATGTATCTCAATGCCACTCTTTTTTAAAATTAGAGTAAAATTAAATTAAAACAACCATTTCATGTTTTTCTCTTTTTTTTTTCTTTTCTTTTTTTTTTTTTAATTTTTAAACAAAATATGGCAGGTCTACTTTGTTTCATACTTAATAAAATGTTTTGGCACCATTGAAGTTGGTATTGTAAACACAGATAATCGCCTATCAAATAATTTTAAATACACCTTAAATTGTTCAGATTTCCCATACCCATTGGCCTTACTTTACCCCTTTTTTGAGCCCCGGACCTCAGGAAATAGTGTTCACCGTGATTCGCAAAGGTGTGGCTTATTACTAAACAGAAGTAGACTGTTGTAAAATAAATGCACATATATTGCCAAGATAATAATACAGTATAGATATTACGTCGGATTTTAATTTTCCATGAATTTTGCTCGTTTAAAATCTTCATTAATTAGGTCTATAATCAAGAGAGATAAACGAACAAACAAATGAACTAACGAACGAAGCCTGATTTTCTAATCCTGATCTTCATTTTTGTTTTTGTTTTTTATCTTTATCCCCCCCCCCCCACCCCCAAGCCACTGAGTCTTCAATTTGAAGTTTCATAATAGGCCTACACTATGTTTTATGTTCCATATTATTCCATAATATATAATTCTCGTCCAAAGAGTTCTCTCATAACAAAAGTGGTACGGATGAGGGCAGTATTTATAGATTTATTTTCATCAGTCGAGTGATGGATCACTCTCTAAACAACTGAGCTGTTCTAGTATCTTTGGCGGGAGTTACACTTGAATACCCTTACACTTACCTTGTTTGATTAAGTAGTTTAGCGAATAATAACTCTTCATTTACTGAAAATGGGATTTCGTCGTGCAGTGGCCCTTGCAGTAGGGATTTTTTTCTTTGCTTCTGGGTTACCAAAAGTTGTACCTTTGCAGCCATTGCATAACAAAATGGTAATCTCGCTTCATTATCATCAGTGACTAGGCCAAGCCTAGCTATTGTATTGTACTATGCCGTAGGGCGTAGGCTAGGTAGGCCTAGGCCCCTAGGCCTAGTTTTGGCTAGCTAAGGGAGCCGCCCCTGCCCCCGATTATAAATAGGTCTAAGTAAGAAGCCAGCGTGAGGCAATGTTCCCTGGCAATACAGTACAATATATATAGGCCTAGACTAGGCCTATGGCCTAATTGGATTTTGTAAGGCAACCATACCACTGTCAGTGTCAATTATATTATAATGGCTTATCAAGGTGGGGTGGGGGGTGTGTGCCCAAAAAAGCTTGCTCTTCATCTTCCTTCCAGTGGGTCCCCCTTTGAAAATGTTGCACGCTAGCTCCCCCTTACCCTTCATCTGCCAGTGATAAATATGGTCCTACCATTAAAATACTACTTATACTGCTTCTACATTTTCTATATAATAACATCTTGAAAATATTTGATTACTTATTGCATATTGTATTTTTGGTCCAGGTTTCTGAATTCAAAGCATTCAACAGGGTGTTCCCGCTCAAACATTTTGGTGTTAAACTTGAAGCAGATGTGTACCGCACTCTCATAGGTGTTTTGGAAATCGCAATGGGCGTTTTGATGGCTTTTGGACGGTCTGACGCTGCATGGTTCAGTACAGTTGGTCTGCTCACAATAATGGTTGGCGCAGCATATACTTTGATTGCCCTTGAAAAGCAACCGATGGAAATAGCCATCCCAGTTGGTTTTGGATGTGTCCTGTTCTGGCTCCTGTTTGGTGATTGATACTAAAAGACTGATGGCGATTACCAATAATTCTAAAAGTTGATATTTTTGATTTATTTTTTTTTATGTTTAACATTCCAAAAACAAAATTTAATTCAGGCTATATTAGCTTGTCAATTTTGTAAAGAATGAATTATAATTGTTTTTTGACTTAACATACAGTAGTTAATTTTTAGTTGTGTTGTTTAATTTTTTGCGTGATTAATATGTAATGATTTTTTAATCATGATTATTTGGAAGCCTGCTAAGTTTTCTTGACCATTCGGACCATTCACGCACTAATTGACCATTCGGATTGTGTGAAAAAAATCAGCAAATTTCTAGTGGTTGTGGTGGGAGGTGCTCAGCTCTTGGGTAACAAACTTCACACCACCTTAGATATTCCACTGACAACAGTTCAAATTTATGAAGGAAAAAATAGGACATTCAATATAAACTGCCTAACCTTTGACATTACCCATAAGTCACTGCACATGTGAAACTATCAAGACAACTTATTGGTACTTACAGTGATTAGGCCTACATTAGGTTTGTACTAGTTTTGGTATTCTTATCATTTCTGTATTTGATTGTTCCTTGATATAATGTGTATGAAATTAATTGATTATTTGCTAAAAGTGTTATAAACTGGTAGTTGGAGGGTTAATAGAATATTAGGCAAAGTGAATTTTGAATTCATTTGGAGCTAAGCTCCATTCTCAGGTGATGGGTACTAACAGATATATTGTTTTGAAATCATGAATTTCATAAATTGCATTAAATCTGTTGATTCAGTATGTTGTATACTGTATTTACCAAATAGAATATTTATACAGTAGTGATAGACATATTTCTAGAAAAAAAATAACTACTGTAGTAATATTTTACAGTACTAATTTGTCTATGCATTTTTTGACCACTGTATTTATTCAAATACTGTACACAGGGATTTTGGAGGGGGTGGGGGCCTTATTCAGGCAGGGTATATTTTGGTGTAAAATTAATAAATATTGTGTATGGGATGGGTATAATAAACGTCCCCTCGACGTCACTGAAAATGTAGAGCAGAGTACAGTATGTACTGCATTGTCAAAAATGTTATTGTGTTAATGAGGAGAGGCAAAGCAGTCTCTTGACATGATAGCCTCCTGGAGGTGGTCTTATTTATAGCATGGGTGAAGGCAAGGAAGAACCCAACGTACAAGCCCAAACCAGTCTATGCCTGTCTGGCTGCGCAATTGTCTAGAAATCGTCTTCTCTGGGGCCCACTTGGTATTTAAACTGAGAATTCCCTTGTGAAACAGACTGTGAAAATCCCCCCTTCACCCCAGCAGTACATTATTGTGAACACCACTGATTATTGTTGTACAATGCTAAATTGAATACAGTACAACCATTCTTCCTTTTATAATAATTATTTGATGTTTAGTTAGACTAAACTGCATATTTGAAATTACATATATAAATGCAGTACTGTATATACCTTTTACTAACTGATAAAACTAGTATTCAATTGTATAGCAAACAATTGCTCTATAGTCCACCTAAAAAATGAAGCATTGAGATGTAATTTAGATTGTAATGTCCATGTGTGGTAATTGTTTCATTAACATTAAAAAAACAAATATACTTCTTGGTTGTCTCCTTTTCATTAATAAAGTCAGCACAGTTACATCATAAATATCAATGGGAAAGGCTAAAAGCCTGGTAGTGTCATATTCAAGATAAACAAGGGAACTGAAGGCCATCAACATTAATAATACACCCTCCATCTGCCACCTTAGTCATTAATTGAAGCAATATTAACGCCTGTTCGCTAAAATTTATACTGTACAGTATACAGATACAGTAGCTTGGCTGCAGTTGTTTTTCCAGAATGTTTCCAATGGGGTATATGCCTCACACCAGAGCATAAGTGGGCATGGTCAGAGAACCTATGGCAATGTTTTTTCTCTGCCAAGGAGCCCTTCCCGACTGGCATTACCCCTGCATTGTGATTAAGAAATTATTGGAGTTTAAGAATTTGAGCCCATGAATGTTGTGGTATTAAAAGTGACAGACGTATCATTCTAATTTAGCATCATCATCATTATTAGCATATTTCATTTGTACTTAATACCTTTGAAATAATTGCAACATAAATTCTATATATAAATAATAATACTGTAATAGTTCATTCTTATATAGCGCAAGTAAGCAAGCTCTCAATGTGTTGTACATAAAAAACAGAATAAGGACGTCATGTATAGATTTATCGTCATCTATGTACAGTACCATCATATAATAGCTTATTGAAGTATACTGCTGTTACAATAACTTTGGAACAGTCTACCTACCAATTTAATTAAATCTCTATCAACAAATTTTTTCTCAATAAATCTAAAAAAGTATCTAAAATCTACATACAGCCATGAATTTTGATAATACAGTATACAAGAGTACAAACATCACTAAAAAAATGGGAAAAACATTAAATTATATTTTGGACAAATAAATATGCAATCAAAAAAATTACAGTATTGTAATGTTGTATAGGCCTGTTCCAGTCTCAGGTGTGTTTATATGTTAGTGATTTTAAATCATTTAAATGGTAAGAAATACTTCACATTGGTAGGCACAGATTGCTGTTGGATTATGGTCCATTGTTTTGTGTGATAGGCCTATATACACCTACCATGGACATTAAAATGGCTGTTGTTTTCTATTTCATTTCCTCTGGAATCACAAAGATATTACCACTTCAACCGTTACGTGATCGTGTGGCAAGTTTTTATGATCAATTTGGTTTAGTAGCCTATAGGTCTGTTACAACTGTACAGGCTTGAGATTAAAACTCACCAGTGCAGCTCATAATGTACGCTTAATTTTTTAATAATCTGTTACATATCTGCAATTTCCTGAGAGCATACATATTTCAGACCATTGACAAGTCTACCATGGTGAAATAAGCCACTTGCATGGCAGTGTGTAGTTATATTATGCCCCTTTCACACATTCATAATTTTTGCATTTTTGAAAATCGCAGTCGCGGCGTACTAAATTTCATGGTCAATTGTAATTCACCCTAACGCATCCTACTGGATCTTGATGCCTTTTGAATGTTAAAAAAAATTCTGGTCTACCGCAGTAGCATACGTGTGAGTGTCGTAACGTCGTGATGGCATCTTCTGCATTCGTAGTGGCTACAACACCTACAGCAGCAGCTTTTTGAACATGGTGAAAATATCAACTATGGCAACAACGACATTAAAATATTCGTAAATTAAGCCTCTTTTTTAATGTGATTGGTTAAATCAAACAGGTGTTTTGGTAAATCGTATTGACATCGTGCTTTGGTCTTTGTAAAATCGTAGTCATGTCGTAATACATCTTGATGGTGTCCTGATAGCATCTTGACAAAACATAAAATTTGATTGAACATGGACTTTTTGAGCATGATTTTAGAACTTTTAAAAATTGTGCTCTTTTTTAGCAAATATCATGAATGTGTGAAAGGGGCATTAATCTGACAGTGCAGCGAATTAAAACAAAAAGATATAAAGAAGACAATGTTAATAGTGTGTAAACGGAAAGCGAGCATTTTTAATATTGCCGTATGTATTTGTTTATAATTACAGAAAACGAACTTTGATGATTTGATCGAAGTCTGCCCATGGAAGTGCCTGGGACTGAACATCGAATCTGACGTGTACCGGTCACTGGTTGGCATCTGAAATCACCATGGGAACACTCTTAGCGTTTGGTACTCAACGCGCTGCTCGTATCAGTTCATTGGGTTTACTTATTCTCACATCAACGCTTCTATATTCACTAGCAGTGTTAACGACATCAACAATTCTAGCATTATTCATACCAAGTATCTGTTTTATCATCCTCTTGTGGAATCTATGGGATGTAGTAGCGATTAGTGTTCAGTCTAATTACCAATTGAGCCCACAAAGAAAGTGAAAGCGATGTCTAGGAAGTTACCAACATCAGATGTATCTGAATATTAATTAATTTTGATTGACAAATAAATAATTTCGAAAGTATGTTTTTATTTTGTTATTTGAATTAACAGGATACACAACCCAAACAAAGATAATTTAAGCGAATTGAAATTCTACTTGCAGTAATTTATTGATCAAACATACAATATTGCATCGTCGAATCTGTGATATACCACCAGCCCCTGTGGTAATGTAGTATAACACCTGCCTTGAGAGCAAGGAATCACAGGTTTAATTCCTGTCAGGGGCACTTTTTCAGACAATTGATTTGGCACTTTTCATTGATAGGCTGCTCAGTACAATGTTTACTATTCATCACCGTTTCATTATTCGAGCACTGGTTCTACAATTACTTGTTTATATATATGTACATTCGCCAGTGCTACGCAGCAACATTGATTCTATATATTTATTATATATATAATACTTTTTATATATAATATTTAAATACCTTGAATAGAAACCCAATCGGCTTAATATCAAGAAAAAACCCATTTCAAAAAGAAGTCCTCTTGTTATTTTGCAAAAGTAATCTCAAAAAGAAGCCCATAGGCTTCTAATCAAGATAGCATGGGCTTCAGACTGATGTTGTCTTATAATTATCTTATGATTATTATCTTATGATTATAACATGTCAGTATTAATATTATATTGCAGTAGCATGGTTAAAATTAAAAAACATTAAACAGAATTTCGAATTCCATAGTTGAAAATTGTCATAAAGTAGCAATTTTAAATATTTACAGCAGTCATTTTGCAAAAGTAATCTCAAAAGGAAGCCCATCTCGAAGAGAAACCCATCCTAAGGGTCTTAAAACAGAAGCAGCCCAGAGATTCTATTGGAGGTTTTTACGGTAGCTGAATAACAGAAAAAGTGCTTGCATATAGAAACAAATCATTTAAAAATATTTCTATTATGGAATTTTAATCTTGCAAAACTATTGTTGCAGAGACTGACTAGAAGTGTGCATTATCTTGTGTACCCGCAACAGACATTCAATATTTTATTAAGAAAACTACCATAATTGTGTAGATTTTCTTGGTCACTGCATTTTCCAATATGGCCTCTACCATAATTGTTACCTATAAAACTTTAATTTGCATGGATCAACATCTACGGATGGAAACGCCATTAGATCCAACTTTTTGTTGTAATAAAAAGTGAAATGTAGTGGACTTTTGAGCATCTAAGTATAAAAATATTAGAGTCAAGTTTTGTGAATTTATCATGTCGTGCCTTCTTTTCCTTTCATTATATACCGACTGAAAGATTCCTCTTCAATTTCTTCCATTCGACCTAAAAATAATAATTAAAAAAAATAAGGTGATGGTTCTATTAATAAATAATGTACATTTAAAATTAATATTAATAATAATAAATAACACAATAATAGTAAAATGTTAGACTTGTATGCGAACAAGAAATCTAAGCACTTTATCTTGTTACGCCCAGTCATTGGATCAAAGGAACAAATACTCAGCTCCCTGAGAATTTTATAGCAGCTAGTTATCAGCACATTTTGTGTTTCAACCTACAAGATACCCACTTGTATTCCTAGGTGGAGAGTAAAGTGCCTTGTCCAAGCACACAAGCAAAATACATAGCCAGGGATTGAACCTCCGACCTCACAGTGAGAGGCAAAAACCACAACTGCTGCGCCAAGCTGCTCTTACCATTAATTTAGTCAATAATATTAGTATATGCTTACTTTAATGTTTTTTCTTTTGATACCAAGTCTGATTAGGCCTACATAAAAGTTACATCATTTTTATTATTATTAATGTATTATGAACAATTTACCTTCTGTATCATCTTTATCAATTTCATCATCACTGTCGCCTCCTATTGCAATGGCAATCTTCTGTTCTTTATCAATTGAATCTGTTAAATAATAACAATATTTAATAAAGTAAAAATAATATCATTAAAAATAGCTTCTGCTGCTGAGGATGATAATAATGATGATGCTAATGCTCATGTTAATAATGATCATAACAGTCACTACAGGGACTTCCACAACATGATACACACCCATCCACTATCACTACGAGGACTCGTATAACATAACAATACACACCCGTCCACTATCTACATTCAAGAGGTTCATATCCATCAATCAAAAAAGAGATTTTGATACAAGCAAAACAAGTGTCCGGTATACAATGTTGTTTTAGCCCCTTTAAGATTTTGTGCAATCTTTATGTAAATCTTTTTGATATTTCTTCTTTTCTCCTCTTGTGCGGTTGTTTTTTCATGTTTTCCCTTGTTTTTTAAATGTAATTATCTTGTTTTTGAATCAATAATTGCTTTGATGTTTTTCTGTTTTTCTCTTGAATGTTGTTCTTGTCTGGCTTTCCTTTGAATGTTGTCCTTTTTACTCTTTTACTTTCTTGTGCAATATTTGATAGGCCTAATTTTACCTTAAATTCAATTTCTGTTTACAGTATTTGAAATTGCAATATTAAATAATAATGTACAGTATTATCAAAACTGATTTTCTCAATGTCTTATCTGGGTATTTACTTGGTAAAATACAGTTACTACGATATACATCAATTAATACATTTGCAGCACAGTAATTCACTTGCCTATATCGGACAAGACACTGGTCATCTTGACACTTGGGCCGCTGCCTGAATCAGATTTTAATTTGTCCAGTTGTTTCTGCTTCTCTTTTTCAACTTTCAACAGCTGTATAAATTAAAGAATGAAATGGAATATAATTAATAAATAATTATGTTCATTTCAATCTCCAATAGTATAAATTGTAATCTTATAACAACCATAATAAAACATTTTTGAATCTCGTACCTTTTCTTTCCGTAACTTTTCATATTCTGGTTTATAATCGCTTAAAAAAAATAATAAATTTATAGATAAATGTAAGTGTGTGGAGGCAAGTGGTGCAGTGCTAAGCCTCCAATCAAAGATCATGGGTTCAATTCCGAGGCTAGTCACTTGATTATGTTTTTGGGTAAGACACTCCGCATAGCATATATCCACTCAGGTTTCTAGGCAATGGTCAAACCAAATTATCCAAGCTGTGCGGAAAAACCAATTGAATTGTATCCAGCAAGAATAACAATTTTTACATGTAAATGCACTATATAATCACGTGTTTGAATAGCCATATTAAATAAAAGATGATTACAATTAGAAATAGAATTGATACAAGTACTGTAATGTAACCTACGTTTCATATTCTATTACTGCTTCATCTACTGCCTTAAAAAACTCCTCCATGCCTTCACCTGTAACAGCTGAAACGCCAACACACTAATAAAAAAGCAAAGGAAGAAAAATATAATCAAATTCAATGCATGTAAACGTAATTCTTACACAATTGAGATTGTTTCTTTGCTTTGCATTGGATTTCTTTGGTGTCAAATACACCAACGATAATCAAACATCTATTTCTAGTGTGGCACCATATTGCACACAGGACCATATGACCAAACATCCAAAAGGTTGTGTGCTAGTAAAGCTTAAAATGGGATTTTACCACAAACCAACCCTTAATCAGGTTTCATAATTTGTATATAATTATCATTCTTTACTACATTCTTGCTATTTATATTAAAATTCCACGACTGTTTTGTGAAAACGCTGACACAAACTTACACGCAAGTTTTGATAGAACTCATCCAACACAAGACTCATGGAACGAGTTAGGTTTGAAGTGTAGGATGTCTCTTGAGCTAATGCGTCTTGAAACACCTCAAAATCTTGCATCCACTCTACAGCAAAATCATTTGAAATGATATCTGTCTGTTTTTGAAAAAATACAAATATATTATAGTTAAGTCATACAATATGAAATGCACAATAGATAAGTATGCTTCCTAGTGCTGGAATGCGACTGGGACAGACCTGAGACCCAGAAATTGTTGTGGAATCAAAATGGCTTGGAATTGTAAAGGTCAGAGTAGGGGTTTCAGGTATGTGTACTGCAAAATTGCCAGGACATAGTGAAGTATGTTAAAAATGAGGCCCTGCTTAAAGAGGCAGGGCCGAGACTTGTACATTATGTAACATAAAAAGTTACATAACAAGTACACAAGGCATGGATCCAGTGGGGCTGAGATTACAATTGAAGATAGTGTATAATTATAATAATGAACAACAAACATAAGCACGATATTCCACCAGTAACAACAATAAGCATGATATTCCACCAGTAACAACAATAAGTACGATATTCCACCAGCAACAACAATACGTACGATATTCCACCAAGGCATAAATAAGCATAATGGGTGGTCACTTTGAGTAACTGAACAGCTCTAGTATTAAAATTCCAATTTACAACATTCATAATTTTGCACATAAATACAGTATATATTAAATAATTTCAATGGAAAACTCACCTTATTCATGACTACAATAAAAGGCAGCTTGAATTTGTAGAGAATACTAGAAAATGATGCAATAAAAATGAAATTTTATTCCAATCAAATCTATATGCATAAGAGCATTGAAATTAATATTTTATAACATACATATGTTCTTTGATTGCATACAGCAGTATATACAATCATCCTTGAACAGGTATTTCTTGAAAGATGCCACTGGAAAGAATAGCCTTGGACTAGTGCCAAATCATAAGGAATTCGATCCAACTTGGCCACAAGTCAGCTTGGCCACAAGTTAACTCGGCCACAAGTCAACTCGGCCACAACAAGTTTGGTTACAGTCAACTCGGCCACAAGTCAACTCGGCCACAAGTCATCTCGGCCACAAGTCATCTCGGCCACAAATCAACTCAGCCACAAGTCAACTCGGCCACAAGTCATTTACTGGTACTACATTGTACTAATTGTTATTATTATTGCTGTTATTATTGTTGTTATTAT